TATAAAAAACTAATATAAATTGAATAGTAAAACTTAAACTCTCAGTTGATAACTAGATTAATAAGCACATAAGTTGAAATCCACAGAAAAGGAAAGAGAATTAGTTAACAAAACCAGAATAATATACAACTTTAATAATAAAAATGTAATGAGTATTTTCATTTTTACATATTTGAAACAAATTTTTTAAATGTTAATGCATTCCGGGATTGGTAACACGTCTGTAATTTCAGCTCTGTGAGTCTAAGGCAAGAGAATCACAAATTTGAGCCCATCCTGGGCAATTTAACAACTTAGTGAAATCCTGTCTCAAAATAAAGAAGAGCTGGGGCTCTCCAGTATCACAAAAACAATAAAAAATAAAAATAACAATGCTTAATACTGTGAAGTTTATGATGAAACTGGTACTTTCATTTTTTTGGTAATTGATATAATTATTTTGGAAAACAATATGGTAGAATATTAGACCAATCCAAACATTGCTAAAGTGATATACCCAAAGATATTTATCTTATTATATTCATACAGGACAAGGGTAAATACCATAGCTTGTTACTATCCCTATTAGATGGACTACTGTAAGTATACAAAAGACTTTGAGGACTAATACTAAGAGCATGTTAATTATGAGAAGAAAAACATAACTTAAAATTAAGATTGCAGTGAAGTGGTTCAGAGTGCAGGCTGTGGTACCAGACCACATGGTCTTGGCTCCTCTTACTACCTGTGTGACTTTGAGCTAATTATATAATTTCTTTGTATCTCTTTTTTCTTTCACTTTTAATGTACAAAATACTAATAGGATCTGTCAATAAGGTTTAAAATTTGACAGTCATGACGTAAAATTGCTCAGGACTGTGACTGTTATATATAACTGTGTTATAAAGTTACTTAGTATTAAATCTCTCTCTCTCTCTTTTTTTTTTTTTTTTTTTTTTTTTTTTTTTTGGTACCAGTGATTGAACTCGAGCCCTTGTTCTTGTGAGGCAGGCAGCAGAACCACTGAGCTAAATCCTCAGCCCAGTACTAAATCTTTTTATAATTATACTTATTTTGTGGTATTGGGAATTAAACCTAGGGCTGCTTTACCACTGAGCTACATCTCCAGTCCTTTTTAATTTTTATTTTAAGACAGGATCCCACTGAGTTGTTCAGTCTTACCTTGAACTTTTGATTCCCTACCTCAGCCTCCTGAATAGCACCATTCCTTCCAGCTGATTATGCCCCCAATAATAATATAAAAATATGTATGTGAAAAAAATGCAAGAAAGAAATAAGTTGTTTAAGGGCAGTAGTTATACTTTTTTTCACTAGTTTTCTACAATTTTTGTCATTTATTATTTTTACAATAAAAATGTACTTCATGTAATGTTCTGTACTTCTCAAATCTTGCTGTTAAGTTAAAAATTTAGAAAATGCACTAATTCCAAGCATGGTGGCACATGCCTGTAATCCCAGCACTCAGGAATCTGAGGCAGGAGGATTGCTGCAAATTCGACACTGGCATGAGCTACATAGTGAGTTCAGCACCACCCTGAACTACATAGCAAGACCCTGTCTCAGAAAAAATAAAATAAAATGCATTAACCCTTGGTTACCTGTGAGCAACAGTAGACATTAAAATATACCATGGTTCTTGAAATTAAATATTGAAAGAGGACCAGTTTTGTTTTGTTTTCAATTTCAAAGCCTTATTTGAAGATCAAATCATTATCTTTCCCATTGGATCTATTTTAATTATATTTCAAATAGTATTTTCAACAGTTTTTGTAATGTCTAGACAAATGTAGAGATGCTTAAAAGGCACTAAGAAACCCACCTCCCCTTCTTCTGATGTGAATTGATTAAGATTTTGCTCCCTCTACTGGAGGAGGGTCAACCATTTTTTTTTTTTTTTTTTTTTTGATATTTTAATTATTTCAAATAGTATTTTCAACAGTTTTTGTAATGTCTAGACAAATGTAGAGATGCTTAAAAGGCACTAAGAAACCCACCTCCCCTTCTTCTGATGTGAATTGATTAAGTTTTTGCTCCCTCTACTGGAGGGGAGTCTC